GATAGAATTTTCTCTTCATAGAGAGCACGCCTCACACCAACCTCACAGGTCTACTTCCTATGAACAGCAAATTTCTGTTAATATATATTGAAGATGTTTCCTCTACTGATTGAATCCATATTGTTATCAAAAGCTATATTTCTGTTAATAAATATTGAATAGACAGGTCTGCTTCCTCTACTGAAATGTTGTGTGATGCACTCTCAAAGGAGAGTTTCTCATGGTGATTGAATCCATATTAGCCCATAAAACCTAAGTTTTGCATATCGAATTAATCAATAACTATAATATGAAATGGCTTTTCCCTTTTTTTTTTAATTTTGCATACAACTTACATGGAAAGAAACTTTATTATTCTAGTTTAGCAGAATAAGAACTGTAATGTTATGTAAAATTATCACAGAAGTAAATGTTTTTTGTGTTATTTTCTCAAGTAGTTTTCACTTGTATATTTCCAGCTACTTTTGTTTTTATCTGCTTTTGAAATTTAACATAATCCACCATGACAGCATGACCGATTTACTAATTTGTTTTCTAAGTACAGAAGGCTTTAGTTGTTTATAGTGCAATTTAATCTGCACCAATACAAATGCATGAGAGTGCAAATAAGAAAAACACAAATTCTGATCCACTTTTGCTTCAATTTTCACTTTGTTTTGTTTTAGGTTTTATTTTACTTCATTTGTGCTGCAAGTGAACAAGATAAGATGAAAATTAAAAGAATAATAAATCAGAATTTGCACTCCCTTTCTTTTGCTCTAATGCAAATAAAATTGCACTACTACAGGCAAATTAGACCAAAAGAAAACATTGCTAAGACAAACAAAGAACCTGATAATATGTAACCTCTAAGAAAACAAATTAGGATTTGCTTCTCAATAAGAGGGTAGTACATTTCTTCATGTCCAAATATTGCTTGGTAGGGTTTAGTGGGTACATATGCAAGCCATGTGAGGTTTAGAATTCTGTGAATCTATGCTTCTCATTCACTATATGTCGCTTCTGAATTTTCTAATATCTTAATATCTTACCAAGTTGTATGAATTTCTTGGATCATTCATATAAGAAAATTGAAATGTTAAGTTTTTTTTTAATATTTTTTAAATAAATAGCTTTGGCCCGATCCATGGCCCGGCCTGCAGCACGGCACGGGCCCGCACAAGCTTGGGCCGTGAGATGTGCTGGACCGACCCCCAAATTATCCCAGGGGAGGGCGGCACGACACAACCCGCAGTTTACATGGACCCGACACGACACATTTTACACCTCTAACCCTTATATTATTATTTTGCTTAATAAAAACATGAATGAGAATGAAATTTGTAACCAAACAGGTTAAAGTTTTACTCTCATTTTTGCCGTAAAAAATCATTTATTGGAAAAAAAATGCGTTTGATTGGTATCAATATTTTCTCATTCTTCCCATTTTTACTTTTTTTTTTCCTCATCTTAGAATTTCATCTTGGATAAGAATGAAACATGGCCTTAGAAGCTGACTGCCACTACGGCTTTGCTGTTGAAAAGTTCGGTATTTCACCATCCATTGATGAGGTAAGGCTTTATGTACCTTCCCTCTCTTTTGTACTTTCTACAAATTCCTAGACATCCTTTTTCTAGCTGTGTTAATATGAGAGGGCTGAAGCACAGGATCTTCTGGCTTTCCAAAGTAGGCTCTGCATGGACAGCCTATAAGCTATGTTGGTACAAATTTTGGAGAGCCCAAATTGTTTGTCTGTCAGTGCCTATATGCACTGTTCACTTCAACCTCTTTGAATAGCTTATTCAAAACTAGCTTAGTGCTTGTTTGGGGGCTGAAGCACAGTGGCTTCTGTTCTGTCTTTCCGAAGTGGGCCTTATACGAACAGCCTCTAAGCTATGTTTAGTGAAAAAACGGGAGAGCCCAAATAAGCTGTCAGTTGGCTATATTTTGGACTGTCTGCTTCATCCACTTTGGATACCGTATTTGAAGCACCTCAAAGCAGCTGAACTAACTTAGCTCAACTCAACTAAAAGCTTTGTCCCAACTAAGAGTGGAATCAGTACCATATTATTGTGCATTGTTAAATTGTTGGCCCTTAAATTATGTTGTGGTATTACTCATAATCACATTTTTTTTAGTTATAAATTCTGAAAGTAATCAATATTCTTCAGCTTCACATCTTAGGTAAATGTTAGTGCGCCCTGCATTTGGTTTGCATTTCTTCTGAGATAATACATTGCACATTTGCATTTACTAGATTGTTGAGGTAGATCTGAGAGGATTCAGCTTCAAAAGACTGCCCAAGGAATACCAACACACCTGCAACTCCACAGCCACAGCCCACAAGCTTGATGGTGTGGGAGTCTGCTCATCTGATGTCTTTTATGCTGGTGGAAAATCCTTTTATTGTCACAGGGAAAACAGTGCTCGAGTTGGGTTCTGGCTGTGCAGGAATCTGTTCAGTGGTTGTTAGATCTGCAGACCTAGTAGTTGCTGCTGATGGCGATATCAAGTACCGGACCTGTTAAGACAGAACTACCTTGTTTACAGGCTCTGCCCTGCTGCTATTTAAATCTTCGGATAGATTGAGTCATTTAGAAATCATGACAGATAATTGACTGATGATGATGTAGCCAGATTGCTCCATTCCCTATCATGCGCAAAGTACACCAAACTCTCCAACACTACTGATTATTTTGAATTTAATTTCAAGTTTACTGACAACATGAGGAGGAGAATTTAATTCCAACAAGGATAAAGACATTAAGGCCCCATTTGTTTTTTGGTAAGTTATTTATTTGGGTAAATGCATTTAATTGGGTAAGTTTTTCTTAGGAAATACTTATCAAGGTAAGTGCATTTACCCACGTTCTTTTATTTCTCAGGTAAGTAAGGAAATGACCATTTTAGTCATAGAAATCCATTATTAAAATGGACATTACTTTCCCTCTTCGTGGGAAAGTTATTTATCCACCTAGGAGATGGGTATCACTTTTCTGGGTAAGTGATACACAGGAAAATAAACTTTCTCTGGTCCCCATATAAAGCTGAAAAAAGAACATGGGATTCTTGGTCAATGGGAACCAAAATCCCATTCACCAACTTCCCCCTCTCCAAATCTAAAAAAAGAACACCCCCTAATAAGTATAAAAAGAATTCAGATTTCCAACTTTCCATTAGACTCCAATGCATCAACCTCCAAAAATATGGCAATCATCTATAGTAGAGGTTATGGTCAAGGACAAGGATCTTGGCATTGTTAGGTTTGACCTCAATAAAGGGAGAAGACAAATGAAGCATTCCTTGATGCATGGCATTTTGATGCAGTGACCCCTGCCAATAGCGCTGCAAGTGCCTCCACACACATCCGCTTTTATGGTATGCACGTGTTAGTATTATTAAGGCATAAGATGAGAAAAGGAAGAAAGCTTGAAGACTAGTGTATTGTGCATGTGGACTAATCAGAATAAATTTTCTTCTTTTCCTTATAATATTAAAGTTCCAAAGGCTATCATGAAAAGAAACAAGTTATTATGTATTTAATTTTAATTTGGATGAATAAAATCATAAATGTTTTTAATAATTGAATTTTGTAACCAATTACAATTAAATTATAGGTTATTTGTAATAAATTTCAGGTTATTTTAGTAGGTGCAAAAAAAAAAAAGAGTTTTAGTGGCAAGTGGGGCTCCCACTAGAAAAGAAATTCATGGGTTGCCGCTATAAATCTATAGCAGTAGTCGGTTTACTTTTATTAACACCTATTTTAGCAAAATTTTGTCGGTTTCTGATAAAAGTAAAAGTCATTTTTCTTGTAATATTAGAGCCGTGCCTTTACAACATCTCCCCTACTTGATGTTATCGTCATTCATGGGAGATGTTCTCGATACACAACTGCAATGCACTGTTAGGTTGGTGTAAGATATGCTTTGTGAGGAGCAAATTCAAACTCGTTTAGGTTAGGCTAATGCAAAATCTTAAGGTCAGATTCACTAAAAACATTTAATACCATTGGTCTTGTTCTTGGTTAAACGTATTGTTTCTGTCAACGTTTTAAAAAATGACTTAGAAACGAAGCCCGTTTTGGTCACCGGTTTTTGAGTCGATGGTTCGACCGTCCAGTTCAAACGGACGGTCTGTTCTGACAAACAAATTAAAAAAATAATTAAAAATAAAAAAGATCAAACTGTTGAACAGGTCGACGGTTTGACCGCCCGGATCAATGAATTGTTGACTTTTTCAACATTTTTGACCAAAAAGCAGGTTTGGGGTAAAATGGAACCGGCTTTCTAGACGATTCCCGGCCCAAACGGTCCGACTGTCCGGGTCAACGAAGGTTTGAAAACCTTGGTTTCTATAGTTTAGGTAGTCAATTGTGGCTTCCATTCCCTTGAGGTGCAGCTATGTACTTGCATTGTATAAGCCAATGGGTCCGACGTGCATCCCTTTCACCCTAGTTCTACTAACCCATTTGGGTCAACCGGATCATCTGTTCAACCATCTGGTCAGCTAATAGAGGATAGTTTGTAAGACCGGACTGGATCACCAGATCATCGGTTCAACCATCTGCTGCAGTCCAGTGCGAGTCTTTCAACATTCATATAATGTGCCTATGATGACCCCTGCACATGCATATTGCTAATGGTCAATGGAGCTCATCTCAACAAAGCTCCAGTAACAAGCAGATCAATGGTTGAAAAATCTTGTTCAAATGATTTTGTTATGTTAATTTCTCCTTGCATCTAGTTGCTAGACTAATGGAGTTTGTTTAATGGCATGGAAAACCTGGATAAGCTGATTGCTTAGTGCCACAAATTTAGCAAAAAAATGTGTAACACACCCGGACTCAGAGGACTGAGGAAGCCACCGCCACTTGGTCTATCTTGATTCTAACCACCAACCTAAGATTTGTCTAACCACCTGATAAGTGATAAGCTCCGACGCCTGATAAGTGATAAGTGATAAGCTCCGACGTCTTTGAGCTTTTCTCTCAATCAACAATTCTACATTCAACCCAACTATGAACCCTTTTTCTCTAGCTCTCCTCGTCTTACTAGCTCTGTTGGCTTTCTATGGGTCCCCGGCGACTTCCACGTCGAGGCACGCTTTTGATAATTATCACCGGCCGGTGCAAAATGGGTTTCGCGTCAAACTAATACATGTCGATTCAGGCGTCAGTCTAACCAAGTTCGAGCGCACCCAACGTGCAATAGAGAGTGGAAAGAACAGGATGAAGAGGCTGAGTGCACCACTAATGGCTGACCCATCAGCCGACTACAAATTCATGGGGCACCTCGAACCAGGTGGCAATGAGCTTGTTCTGCCAGTATATATAGGCAATCCACCTGTATGGATGCAGCTGATACTCGACACCGGAAGCGATTTGATATGGGCACAATCCCTACCTTGCAAGCACTGTGATCTCGCGTATGATGATCCACTCTTCTTTGATCCGAGTAACTCTTCAACCTTCTCAAATGTCTCTTGCTCCAGCGAACTGTGCAAATCACTGCCCTACTCCAAGTGCACCAAGGGGTGTGAGTATCAATATGACTACGGAGACAATTCAACGACGCGAGGCTACATGGGAACTGATACATTCCAGTTTGGGGATGATGGCCACTTAGTCCCCATTCCTCACATTGGGTTCGGCTGTGGGTTGGACAACCAAGCACTCTTCTTGGAAGAAGCTGATGGAATTCTCGGGCTTGGACGCGGGCCGCTGTCGCTCATCTCTCAGCTCGGCGCGAAGACATTCTCCTATTGCATGGCTGACGGTTATACATCTTTCAGTAGCTTCTTTATGGTTGGGTCTCTGCCCAACATAAGCAGACCAACCATCTCTATCCCTATGATGCGAAACCCTTACGTAGAGGATGTGCCATATTACTACGTCTCCATTGAAGGGATCACAGTCGGAGACACTCTCATCCCACTCCCAAACTCCACGTTCGAAATCAGAAAAGATGGGACTGGTGGGATGTTCGTCGACTCGGGTACCACCATCACGTTCCTGGAGAAGGAAGTTTTTGAGCTGGTGAAGCAAGCCTTCATCCAGAAGATTAATCTTCCGGTGTTATAGAGATAGAGGTGCCCAGATTGATATTCCACTTCAAAGGTGGTGCTGACTTGGAATTGGATCCAGAGAGTTATTTTGTGGAAGATTTTCCGGTTGGTGCGTTTTGCTTGGCGATGATGCCATATGAGGTTTTCTCAGTCTTGGGGAACATTCAATTGTATAACATGTACGTCGTTTATGATCTTGAGAAGGAGATGTTGATTGTCTCCTCCTCCGGTGGATGTGGTGATGGGTAGTTTTTGTATGGATTATTTCCGTATAGTTTATTAGGTTTTGTGTTAGTTTAGGACTTAGGAGTAGCAGTGAATAAGCAATCAAGTCTATCTAGCTGTTACAGAGATTAGTATTTGCAGTAAAGAGTGATATATATTGTGGTTTGATCCAATTACTTCTGTTCAAACTTCAAGGCTAATTATTTTGTGCCTATAGTTCTGAGACTAAGACCAATTCCTGTTTTCTCGTCTAGTGGAGTCCAGATTAATGGCCAGTTCCATTCCAAAGATGTAGGTTGACCAAACAGAAAGGAAAGTTAGCCAATGGGATTAGGATAAAAGACTTAAACGAATAAATGCATTTATTGAAAAAGCTAACTGAGCCTTAGGGTAAAAGACTTAAACCTCCCTCTATGTTTCAACTAAATGCTAAAACCTCCCCTCACTTATTAAGACCTCCTCTCCTGTCAAGTAATGTTATTGGACAAAGGCCTCCCCTCGGTTAGCAATGAGTGAAGCATCCGTTTACATATAACATCAAATGTGGATGAAATTTGTTAAAAATCCAATTTTGCCCCTTTTAAGGTTTGGGTATACTTGGGACATATTTGACTGTTTTATGAGGTATTGAACTATTATTTGATCAACCGTGTCCAAAAACTTCCTGCAGCTGAAAGAGATCGATGAACGAAAAACTGGCCTTGTTTGAAAGAAAAAGTAGAAAAAGGAAGGGAAATCTTTACAAATCTTGTATAGGTTTTCTTACATTTTTCCTTCCTTTGCCTACTTTTTCCTTCAAACCAAACATAGCCTTAGAGAAACCACTAAACCATTTGCTGACATGCGATATAGTGATCCATCATAACTGTTCTGCTAGTTAGCCCAATTAATCCTAATTTAGATTCTTGTAAATAAGAATTTATTCTCTTTAATTAGTCTGTAGTGAGATGCATTTAAATTTTCTTTTCATTTGTTTCTTTATAATCTTTTTTCCTTTTTTTTTTTTCTTGTTTTGGCAGAAGCGGGACCCATTTAAATGTCATTTTAGCCTTGTATTGCATCCAATACCGTAAGTAGAGAAGCAGGTCTATCATATCTAAACTGAATTCAATTTAATTTGTCAGTCTAAAACTCCTCTCCACACATTTTTTAATAACGTTTCTGCATCTAGTGCTATGAAAAAATGAAAAAAAGAAATTTATTAGATGCAGCAAACTTTTTTTCCTTGATAGCATTACATATACATGAAAACTTGACGAAGCATAGGTCAACACCAAAGATAACGGAATGGACAAAGAAATTATTACACTGTTTTGAAATTTTGAAAAATTAGCAATGGTAAGGAGTCCTTTTTGATGACTTCGTTAGAAATAACTTTAACTTTAATAGGGGAGGTGTTAGGCTGCATTTGGCATTCCATATTTTAAGGATTTATCTCATTTTTATTGTTAAAAATTCAGTGTTCTTAGACTGTATTACCACATTTTAACTACAAAAAGGAGATAAGTCCTTAAAATAAGGAATGTCCCCAAATAGGGAGTTCAAATCTCTCTCTCTCTCTCTCAATTATCAGTTTGACCAGAATCACCTTCTATGTATTTAGGGGTGTAAGCGGATCAAATTCGAATTGAATCAGGCAATATCCAAAATCAAATCCGATATTCGAATTCGATTTAATAACTGACGGATATTGAAAATTAATATTTGAATTCGAATCTGATTAAATATTTGAATATTCGATTCGATTCGAATGGGACCAATTAATTATTTTAGGTAATTAATAAATATATAAAATAAATATTTTATTTATATAAAGTATGTAAATTATTTATATAATTTAATTATTTTATATATAAATTATATAAAACATTTAAATATTTTATATGTTATATATAAGAATTAAATAATCGATCGAATTTGGATATTTATCAAATTGAATCAAGTCGTATCCAAATAACTATTCGATATAAATAGGGTATCCTTATTCAACCGATTAGATATTCAAATTATCCAAATTGGATCTGATTATGTCAAATCTCAAATTCGAAATCAGATTTTTGAATACCGTTGACATCCTTATATGCATTTGGTTCCATGGGTGTTTATGGTAGGATGTTTCTCAGATAAGTGTTTTATTGAAAAACATCACTTTAAACGTTTATTATTTTATGTTATTTAGTTGGGCATTTCAAGTAACACCCCATCAAGCTATTTTCCACCTCAGCTTACATTGTGCCAAGTCAGCATTGCATTTCAATAATCGTTGAATCAAGTTTCCCCTAACAACTTATGCTCATAAATCCAAGTGTTTCTGTTTTTAATGTTTATTTGATAGACATTGAAACAAAACAGTGGTTTTACACATAATAAATACCACCATTAAAATGCATGGATGTGACAATATTTTCCCAATAAACACCCACAGAACAAAACATGCTCATGCTCCTTGTTCATTGGCTTACACCACCCACAATGAGCTCTTTAGTTGTCCTTCCCTTGAAAAGGATGCTGTATTGTTTAAGGCCCGATTTTTTAAAGAAAACTCCCCAACAATACACTCTGTTTGCAATGTTCCAATGGGTTATCCAGCTATAAGTTTAGCTGCCGTAGTTGAGTACTTGAATAATCTAGCCTTGTTGTCATACAGGCCCTACATAGATCCAAAACCTTAATTTAAATAAATAAAAAGGTCAACTTAAAGGTTAGTCTGTACGTTTTTCCTATTGGCAATGCATTAGCAATAGTAGTTCGATATGATGAAAGTTACAACTGAGTATTATTCTACATATGTGGAGCCCTTCTAAATGGCCATGTCTAGCACTACTTGTTACTTTTCTCTTCTGCCTGAATTCCCTCTTCATAAAAGAACGACACCGAATGGTCAACATTCTTTTGAGATCACTCCATTGATTTGTCCACCAATTGGATGGTCGGAAGATGGATGAGTAATCGAGCAATACCGTAGAAGAACAAAGGGTTACAGACTCATTCTACTAAAGAATTTGGATATATAAACCACACAATATATAGGATAAGTATTATTTCATTAATAGGATACCAATAACAACTAAGTAGTAAGCTGTGGCTCTCATGTCCCAACCTCCCACCATGCAAGAGGCAAGATCTAGGGTAGAGCTGTCAATGGGTGACATCTACCTGATGGAACCGAACCGATTGAACCGGTTATCTCCATTTTGGTTGTGATTTGTGTTTCGATTAATAATTGGGTTAGAATTGGTTAGTTAACACTATATAAGGGTTTTCTGGTTTGCTTGTAATCCAAGCGTAAAATATGGATTCCGTTTATGATTTTTATTAGAAGATAATGCTGTTATTTGTTCCCGGTGAATGTGATGATGGTTATCCAATTTGGTACTTTGTTTGCATCTCTAACTCCTCCATACAGAATCAGACTGTTTCACTTGTAAATTTAGCTCGACTGAATGATCCCTCGTCTTATTTGAGATATCAATCAGTATTTCACCCTGTATTGCTTAGAAACATTAATTGAATTAGTTATGTGCTTAGTATTCTTTGGGTCTATCAGTGCCCCACAGTACATCTCAAATGTGTATTGGGAGCATTTTCTGTTGATGTTTCATTATTTCCTGCACTTGTCATCGAGAGATGTTCTTAATACGCAGTTGGGATGTTTTATGGGGCATTGTGGGGCAAGAGCTCGTATTATTGAGCAAATTAATTGTTGCATCATTTACCAGAAAATGAAAAAAAATTATCTCATCTAAGCCTTGTGCAAATTATATGGAATCGACTACATAAATCCTGTTTTGTCATTCTGTTATGTTTTTAGTATCCTATTCATTATTAAATTATATTATGAACACCTAAATCATTTCTTATTACTTTCACCCAAATCCTTATGGGTATTCATGTTATCAAATCATCTCAATCTACTATCATTTCATTTTTTCATTTATTAAATCTATTCCTAAATTCATTCCTATAACTTCATTTTTGGCCTGTCCTTAATCTTATCACACATCAGCAAAACATTTGCACTTTTGCCACGTTCATTTTTTGCACTTGTATTCTTATCGGCAACATCCTCTTTAATCTCTCTTTTATTATGAATTATTAGACCAAAATAATAAAGAAGGTCACATTGAATTATCTCTTATCTCCAATTCTAAGTATATCCTAGTTTGTGCCCCTATCGTTATTAAATTTATATCACATATATATTATAGTTTTAATTCTTACTTATTTTCCAACCTTTTGTTTCTAATGCAATGTCCATAATGCATTTAATCACTTTCTTTTATTTAAATAAAAAATGTTGGATAATGACACTTTTTTAAAACAAGTTAAAAGATATAGTGACTTGACCATTAGAGTGGTTGATTTGGAAAAAATCAGTCTGAGCATCCACCTACTCTCTCCGATGCAAAAGTAACGTCAAACAGTGCTCAAAACCACACTGGTGTCATAGATCGAAGTGTTCGGTATTTTGTCCTGTCCCTTGGTGTATGCCCTGATTACTAAGCTCTGGAAGGTGATAAGTGATGACAAAAATCAAGTCACTGTATTATTATGAGAAGTTCAAGATTTCTCAAACATGGGTGATATGTGGCTTTGTTACCGACTAAAAATGAGCCAAGCAATTTTTTTCTTGCTTTCAGAGTTCTCTTACAGAGATTGTGAAAATATACTTTTGCTTTTCATTTTCATTGGCAAGTTTACTAAGGGTAAGTTATTCAAATGGAGATGTTTTTTCTTACTGTCTCACTATATAGCAAGGTTTTTAAAATCAACCCGGATAATGAATCAGTCAAGGTCCGATTTTTGGGTCGAATGATCCCATTGTTCGAATTGAATAGATGGCCCATTCTAACAAAAAATAAAAATCGGACAAACCATTAAACAATTCGAACAGTTCAACCGCCCGAATCAACGATTTACTTACCAAATCAACAGTTCTGAGGTAAAATAGAACCGTCACCTGACTGATTCCTGGTTTTTCCAATCTAACCATTCGGTCGGTCCAGTTTTAAAAACCATGTCCT